CAGTTTTTTCCCCGTGGCAGTGGGGCTCACAAACAAGCCCCCTGCATCACACTGACTCTGCACCGCACTGACTCTACCCCACCACACCCCACCACCTGCACATAATTTATAATTTATTACTACTCTGTTACTGCATATATGTATATACTTTACTTTATTTTATTTTATTTTATTCTATTTTATTTTATACAATTTCTTATATATTGTTGTTTTTCTACATTGTTGTTTTATGTACATAAGTAGTGCACCAATTACACCAAGGCAATTTCCTGTATGTGCAAACATACCTGGCAAATAAAAGAATTCTGATTCTGATTCTGACAGAAGCCTCAGCTTAACCACAGGAACCACAACACAACTGAAAACCCCACACAATAGAAACACAACCACAACAGAAGTGAGCAACAATGAATGTTGACAATGAAATGAGCAGAGTGAGTTACTGTGGTCATTATGAAAACCCAGTCCAGCCAGATGCCGCTTAAAACGTGGTGCTTGAAGCACACACCTGTGTTGTCACTTTTGCATTTGCATTGTGGCTTTTTCATTCTTATTTTCCGTGTATGTGCTTGTGTGGCCGTGTTGGATCACATTGACCACACCCGAGTGTCCCCTGTCCCAACATGCTGTTAAATCAGAAGAAATAAGAGAGGACAGTCAACCGTGAGACAGGAACACTTGTGACCAATTAGCTCACGGAGCAGAAGAGGGAAGAGGCAGTATCCCAGCGGGCTGCTGCTAAATAGACGGGCTGTCATCAACACTGGGCTCTGAGACGCTCAATGAATTCTCATATGCCTGTCCACTGTCCATCTGTAGTCCAGCCACAGACACACGCACACACACACACACGCACACACACACTTTCACTAACAATATCTCTCAGCTCCTGTACACCCGAGCAGTAGTCCCAACACAGCTTCATAACATCCCACCACTACAGGAGCAGAGGATCTCATTCCACTAGACCCCCCCTTCCCCAACAAGCTGCTGCTCAGTTGTCCAAAGGGCGTGCCATGGGTGCCCCCCCCCCCCTTCCCTTTGCGTCGGTGTGTTTGCTTGTATATATGTGCAAGTTTGGGAGGGGTAGCTTAGAGTTAAGTCCTTGCTGACCATATGTCTGCGCTGCAGGAGGTTGAAATGGGGGGGGTGGGGGATTGCAATCTGCCAAGGATGTAAGAATGCCAATAATTTGTAAATAGGCCCATGTTCTCCGGTCGAAGGGTTAAGTGCAGCCTCTGTCCTGGGACTGCCCCGGTGGGACGGCTATTTGAGATCCTCCAGTTAAAATTCTCACGAAACTAACGACTTGTTCTTCTTTTACCCCCACCCCCTCATTTCCCTCTTAAACCTCTACCCGCCAGGACTTGAAGAAAGTTTAAGAAGCTCCCTGGAAGGGTCCAGTCCGTCAGTGGCCCTGGTTCCGGTCCTGGACTTGCCCGACTCCCAGATCCTCCACCTGTCCTGCTGGCTCAGTTTGTAGAAGCACAGCCAGTGTCAACAGCCGGACTCCAGTCATCCACAGCACTGGAATTCAGCGGGGCGTTCGTGGAGGAGCAGCTCTGACTCTAATGACTTACAGTCGCTGATGGTCCCGTTGTAAGTCACTTACAAAGGGACCATCAGCGACTGTGGAAAGAAAAAAACACATCCTGCTGATCTGCTCATTAATATTGGATGTTTATCAGCGCTGGTTGTCGAAATGCAAAGCTCTGTCTCCAAGTGGTTTTGTCCGTGGGCTGTTTTGAGGAAGTGTTTATTCCACTTCACACACCAGAACTTTGGCCGTTAATCCTCAGTGTCCTCGGCTGGAGCTGTCGCCTGCAGCAGCTGTTATTCTGCCGCGGAGATGAGACTTGTGGAACTTCTAGCACCTAAGCCTGCATACCAGCGGACAAGAGTGCATAGTCCACAAAAGGACACAGTAGCAGCATCTCATTCCACGAGGCGATAAACTGTATCCCCCTGAATCCTACTGTTTCTGGTGGAATTTCTCTTAGCACGCTAACTAACACCCCTCATAAAGGCCCAGCGCCACCACTGACACCATCTGTTCAGTTGAAAACCTATAGATTTACTGTGTGTCTGGTGTGTAGCCGTGTGTAATGTGTGCAGATGGGGGGGTGGGGTGTTTCTGTGCTCTCATGGTCCATGGGATTCAAGGTGTGTTATTATTGTGTAATGGGCAATCAGCACCAAGCACCTGAAAAGATTAAGCCTCTTTATGTTTTGTATTGATTCTAAGGCAGCCTGGTTAATAGGAGAGACGCTACCACACACAGCTGCAGGGCAGGTGTGTGTGTGTGTGTGTGTGTGTGTGTGTGTGTGTGTGTGTGTGTGTGTGTGATTAGTGTTTGATTTTTGGGTTGTAATTAGGGTTAGGGTTAGGAATGAAAACCCATTGNTGTGTGTGTGTGTGTGTGTGTGTGTGTGTGTGTGTGTGTGAGTGACGACATGGGCAGAAAATAACACTATTAACCATTGCTCCTGGAACATTTCTTTTCTCAAAGATCATGAACCACATTGACGACCGAGTTGGAATGCATCTTCACTCCGGCTATTCTCTTCATCGCGCCTGTGATGGTGGGAGAGACGGTGGAGTGGAGCTATTGATCTTCGCCCGCCGCAATATTGTTTTGATTGTTGTTATCAAAAATTGAACAATAGAGGCGGCCAATAGAGCCCGAAGATTTTTATTGAGGCTTGAAAAACACAAACAAGCAATTATTTATGAGGGCGAGCAAGCCAATGCCCCATAAATATACAGTGTGTTAATGTTCACGCGCTTGGTTTTAAAAGTCCCCACCAGGGGGAGATTCCGAAATTTCTTTAAATGACGCAGCTGGCACTAAGATATGTTTTTTTTTTTCCAACAAAGTACTTTTATTATGTATTTGTATACGTCAATCAAGTAAATAAAAAACATTCACAACTAAAATGGTTCTCAGTGAGAAAATTTCTCCTCCAAGGCTCAACAGTCCCTGTAAATATCAGTTCTATTAATGTGAGTTTTTTATGAATCATTCTCTGGAGAAAAAAGTGAAAATGTCAAAAAAGCAAAACGAACCAAAAACTCTGCAATAATAATATTGTAAGTGAAAAATCCAGGATGCAACCCCCGACCCAGATCTGCACCAATATTTAATGGATTCTTTCTTTACCCGGAGATAAAGCAACTAACACAGAAATGGAAACGGGTGAAAACATTTCTGAAAATATTTGTTTATGTTGGAGTAGTTTCGACAACTGTAGCTGTTTAATGGTCACGGATTTTGCAATGACACACACACACACACAACCAAAGAAAACGTTTCCTTTTCTTCTGGGTAACAATCTCCTTAATCAGGTGTTGCCAGCTAAAGCAGTTAAACCCAAGAAACAACACTCTACAGGAATTTGTATCAATTATATGTACGCACTGCACTGAATTTCATAATTAAATTCAAACTTGTGAGATGATTTTGGTTTTTTTTTTTTACATGGTGGAAATGACAAAACTGGATACATAATAACCGTGTGTCAATGATGCTGAACTTTACACGCTGTCTTTCATACAAACACGGGCAAATCCACAAGAATATCATCACAGCCTCATCACAGCCGGTACGATGGCCCGTGGCAGACACATTTGTTTGTGTCCTCACCGCACCACCGTGTTTTCTTCACAGAATGAGAAAAGACAGGGTGACATTTGGTTTCCTCATGTGTTTTGTCAAATGTACAGTTTCAACCAAGCTGACCTGCAACCACGCGGCAAACAAACTAGCTGCTGTGGCTAACATTGTCCTTTGTGTGCAGTGTACCAGCCTGCGGCCCTTGTCATTGTGGCCTTGTACATGGACTTTAAACTCTGCGTTTCCTCCTCCAGGCAAACCAGGCTGATGTGTGTGTGTGACTCGCTCTCCCCACAGCACTGGGCTACAGTAGGGATTCTTGCTCAGGAGCGGCCGAGCTGCACAAGACGCCTCCTCACGCTGTCGTCTGTTTGCCTCGATGACTGCGGTTTGTTTTGTTTTCATGTTCGAATCATTTTTGTTTGGTAATGCATTGTTTTATTCTCCTGGCATTTTGTAAAGGCATGATTATACAGTCCCTGCTCTGACTCAATTAAACTTCCTCTATCTGCTTGACTGCTAAGCCATCACTTGCTATTGAGTGGTGTCTGCTGCCCTCTTGTGGAAAGTATAGAGCTGTTTTACTTGTAGCCTGAGAGGAATCATTTGTAAAGGAAGCAAGGCAACATTACAACTGGAACGGTTTTTACATTCGCCTTTAATTATCTCAGAGATAACGTAAAGAAAACAGTGTTCCATGTTCAGGGACAAGATACCAAAATCAATCCATTTCTAAAACGTTCTCAATATTGTCAACTGCTGTCACTTTATTTTAAATCTCCACTCAGGAGGAGATGTTGTCACTTTTTTTATGGTTTATTTGTTGATAAGATTACAGAAAAAACGACTTCCCCACTTTCCCAAACTTGGAGGCATCAGACCTGGAAATAAATCAGACTGTTCGGCCTTGCATCAGGTGCTCTAACTATCGTAGTTATCAGTATTTTTGTACAAAACACCAAACACAGAGGTAGTTCATCACATTGTCAAACAACACAATCACCTGACACAGGATAGGAGAGCAACCCCATCGACTTCACGCTCAGATGTGTTGTGTATCGATTAGCAGAGACTTGAGGCTCAACATGAACATTAAGTTAATTTCACTGGTGAAATTTCATCTTCGATACACCTCAGCTCTGTGGATATCACACTCGTTACAGTCACTTACATTGATACACACTCATTGGGGCCTTCTGAGCACATAACCTGTAAACATGTACAGTTAGTCGACAGTTTACTATTATAAATAAAATAAAGGAGTGTATATATCTGTAGCAGTGTAAAGTCTGAGTTAATTATTCTGTTGCATAATGAATAACATTATAATTGTTGAATGCATATGGTTAAATGGCGAGGCTGTATTTCATTGTAAGTTTTGGAGTCAAAAATAATAGCTAGTGGCAATACGATAGGTGTGAAGAAAAATGCATTCTTTCATGTATTTCGAACATGTAAATCCAAAAAAGAGAAGAACTGTTATTATTTAAAAACAGTGATGAGGGGGAAATCAAACACTTAATGATTGAATCTACGTATTCAAAAGGGAGTGAGAAGAAGTACGATTACTATATTCTCACAATGTTTTATCATATAGCCTATACATGCAGACATTGCTCCTGTTGCGGGTGAAGATGTATTATTATTATTATATCAATAATTTCCAGAGCAAGATGTGTCCTCGTGTCTTCTGCATGTCTCCAGCGGATAGGAACCAAATACCACTGCTTCTCGTCGAGACATTTTCAGGGACGCACACGCTTGTTCCCGGAAAGGACTTCAGGGGCTGGTGCTTCGTTAGCAAAGAAGCTAACACGGTTAATAACCTGTAAACTAATGATGAATTCATCTGTCGTAACGGGACTTTGAATGTTTATAGTAAGTGTTGACTCAGTAACTGGACGGTTGTTGGTTAGTTGTGACGTTCGCTGCATGGTTGTGTTGTGTTGTTGTTACCGCCTTTGTCAAGTTCCTGTGTTGTTAGCTTGTAATGTCGGTCACAGGTATGTGTTGTAGACAGATATATGATACATGTTTTCGTTTATGTAAAGATATTGATTGGATGTGATTTACAGGGGAGTATTGCAGTTGTGTTTTCCATTCAGTTTCACTGTGTGGAGTTCCTTCACTTCATATTTTTATGTCATATGCTTTGCTCTAGGTTTCAGAAGAACATCATCTGTGATTTCAAAATGCGTCGGTGCCCCATTTGTCCCAAAACGTTCCCATCGCCATCTAAACTGAACAGACACCTTCTCATCCACACTGGCCAGAAGCCCTTCGTCTGTAGATTCTGTGGAAAAGCCTTCAACCAGGCTAATCATTTAAAACTACATATGCAGAATATCCACCACTCACAGCCTCCAGCAGACACGGATGTTATTTCAACCAATCTCCAGCAACCACTCTGGGTTAAACCAGCCGCGGGGACGAGCACGCACAGTGCTGGTAACTGTGCCGGAATGCCATCGACTGTGTCGTCCTCTGTGGCCTCCCTGCCACAGTGGAGAAGAGGAACTGTTTGTCTTCCTGTGTCAGGGACTGGAAACCCATTCAGAACAACATCACATGTAACTGGAGGTACAGTGAGCAGTGTCTCACATGATGTGGATCCGGTGCCTCGGGATCAAGTTAATTCTACCAATGTGAACACATCTGCAAACAAAGGCCACAAACAATACACCTGCAAAGTCTGCTTAAAGTCATTCCTTTCATCTTCTCAGCTTTGCAGTCACTTACCAACACACAACAAATCAAAACCGCTCGAGAGGGGCCAGAGCATTTTCAAGAAGCGTCTGCGGAAGATGAACTTACAGTCACAAGAATCGACAAGCCCCAGTAAAAGCATAATGTCTCAGAAACACCAGTGTCCTAAATGTATGAAAGGCTTTTGCTCACCGTCCAAGTTAAAACGACATCTTCTTACTCATACGGATCAGAAACCTTATGCGTGTTCAGGTTGCTGGAAAAACTTTAGACAGAAGGCGCACTTGAAAACTCATCTAGGCACAGAAAAGAAATGCCCACTTTCTGATGCCAATGCAAGAGGAAAAAAAAAACGTTCTGAAGACAGTAAAAGTTCACGTCTGCAGCCTGAGACGACGCTTCAGCGCCCATCCAGTAATCAGAACTCGTCAATGGAGCTCAAGCTACAATGTAAAATACATGTAAATACTTTGCAGAAACTGAACAAGAATGAAATCAAGTTAAAATCTTTTGTAAAACAAGAACAATCATTAAATCCGAGCAGTCAGTGTCATAAGTCAGGAGGACAAGGGTCGCAATGCTTGACAAAAAAAGATTTGAAAAGATTCCTGTGCTTGATCTGTAACAGATCATTTCGTTTAGAGGTTAATTTAATACGTCATCGTAGAATTCACTTGAACCAAAAGAAATTGGGAAGTCCCACCTCGGTGCAAAAATGTAATAATGTGAAAGTGTCAAATTCTGACGCTATCAAACGTGTGCCTGAGCGTAATCCTGCAGACCTCACTGACTTGAACATAATTGTACAACAAGTAATACGGAGAGAGAAGATTTGCAGTGACTCTCTTCCTCAGGAGACTGCGTCCATTCCATCAGCAGCACAGAAGAAGCCAACTTTCCCGCTGCAGAAGCTCCCTTCACATCAGTGCCCAAAATGTTCAAAATTTTTTCCATCTCCGTCGAAACTTGAGAGGCACATGATGATTCATACCGGACAAAGGCCCTTCAGCTGTGAGTTATGCGGAAAGCAATTTCGTCAGAAAACACACTTGAGGGTTCACTGTCGTGTTCACCTGTTGACCAGATATCAGAAGCAACGGTCGCTGTACATCAGTCGACCGCCTTCACGCACCGGTGGGTTTAACACGAAGACCGCAGCAGACGTCCCAATCCAGGAAGTGTCAGCACATAAAAAGTGTAATGAGACACTCACTGGCAGTGATGTAAACTCTGCAAACCAGCCGGATCAGACCCCTTCAATAGCAACTGTTCAAGATAATGTCAAGACAGAATCAGGGATCCAATTGTTTCCACAAACCTCCAAGAAAAGTGACGTTTTGCCCTTGAGAACAGTTCCTAAAGTGAAAGATAGTGGGACACAGACTGCTAAGCCAATGCTAATTCTTGGCAACGTGCTACGCGAGTGCCCCCAGAGTCTTCCAAACCCCTCTGAATTACAAAGGCATGAGATGGTACAATTTCTGTGTCATATGTGTGGGGAAGCTTTTCAGCAAAGAACCCATCTGGAATCACATGAAAGTGCACATTTTCAGAGGGAACTGTCCCAACCTATCAACCAGCAGGCGAGCATCAAAAAGCTGGAAACTAATGATCAGCAGCAGCAGCAGCTCTACCCAAAGGTCACTGTTCATATCCCTTCTCTGCAACACTCTGTAAGCACAGATATAAAACATTCAGTCAATGCTTCTGCGACAGGTAAAGAAAAAAGTGTGCAGGATTCTACCGGGCCTGAAAAACCTAACGCAGAAGTGAACAGTCTCTTTGAGACAAACACCAAGAGCAGTACTTTAAAAAAGAAGCTTCACATGTGTCGCATATGCAGCAAGAACTTTTCTTCTCCCTACAAGCTGTCGAGGCACTTGCTCACTCACTCTGGCATGAGGCCGTATAAATGCAGCTTTTGCAGCCAAACCCTCACACAGCATGGTCATCTAAAATTACATGAGGACAGATGCAGACAGAGAAGCAGGACCTCCGATTGTTCTCACAGAGAACAGGTAAATACCAACCATCTCCAGGAAAACCCCACTGAAAACCTTATGTATTGTACAGATTTTAATTTGGATCCAGTGAGCGAGCAGAGAGAGTCACATTATAATCCTGCCAGCGCTGGTCAATGCTCTTTAACTGATGGAGATTTAGCTCATTGTCCAGAGGCAATAGACACTGACTGGCTGGCAGTACCGGAGACAGGCTTAAAAGAGGAGAATAATGAATTAGAAGAAAAACCGAATCTAGCTACAGACAGTTCTATTTCATCTACAGACCATTTCAGTTATTCGTTTCCCACTCAGCTTGCCTTTGAAATAAACAAGCTTATCCAAAATCAAAAAACGTCAGCTCTGTCACATCACTACGAGGGTAATACTCATAACGTAGAAATACCCAGTCAGCTTGAAGGAGTGACGGCTAGTTCAATTAAAAAAGAAGTGCTTGTTGGTGTGAGTTCTGTGGACGAGGATCAACTTCTGCCAGACTCCCCAGGTGATGACTGGTGTGAACCACTGATCGTGTTTGAATGTGGCGAGTGCACTACAGACTTCATTAGTGACGACGATCTCAAGCGACATCTCTGTCCTGCTCGTGTTGAAGCGACAAACTCGACCGCTCTGTGGTAAAACCTTTACTCAGATGGCACATGTCAGAATTCAGAGACAGACTCGTTGATGATGTGACACTAAAATGTTTGGGTTTTTGTGTGTGCGCAGACTTACTTTTGTGGTGATCTTGATATGTGACAAATATATCTGTATATAGATACATGAACTGTAATATATCATATTTTTCCTCAATAAAAATACGTTTGAAATCTTTTTTCATTTTGTATTTTACAGAGATACAAGTTATTCTGCACAATTCTCAAAAAATAAAAAGACATTTTATTAATTATGTATACATAATATTTATTTAGTAACCACATTCATTAAATACTGGCTGTTTATTCTATCATCACAATCTACTTTGGAGGTGCACTATTCTTAACTATTTTGCACATCAGTATCTCTGCAGCTATGTAGCATTACCATATATTTATCATACAGAAAATAGTCTTTTTGCACATCAGTATCAACGTGTGCTTTTAAATTCATCTTGTACCACTGCACTTTTCTGAAATACTTTTGTTGAACACGAACAATATGTTTCCTGTAGTGAAGAGTGTACATCATTCACCACTGTGTCTTATGACTGCATACTATGTCTTACTGTGTACTATGTTTTGAGTACTAACTATGTTGCATACTTATATGTTCTGTCTACCTATAAGTCTGCATCGGGGGTGCAGTGAGAACAAAGGGGGTTTTCGCGGTGTGCGATCGATAAAGTTTGATTTTATCAAAAATTCTCTTCTGATAAGAGAAACACGAAGCGGGTGCGGAACTGTAGGCGCGCTGTTAGTTGGTGGGGACGACTTTCAGCGACGTACCCATTGAGGAAGTTGGTCGCACACAGCGCGTTTTGCTTGTGTACGTGCGTAACGAAGCTTTGAGCGTCGCTCCACACATGTTGTAAAACAAATAAAGGTCAGTTACACTCACTTTGTATTTTTAGACACATCGAGACTGTGGATCCCGATGTTGTGATGAACTATAGATACAGTCATCTCTATATTAGTAACGCTAGCTAGTTAGCTTAGCTCGTTGCCTGATATTATTGAACAGTTAACATCTATCAGTGTTATTGAAGACTGCTGTTTTTAAATGTATGTTTTACGAATGACAAACTGCTCTTAGCGACTTTCGTAACATTCCGAAGCACACTTATGAGCTGTTTACAACCTGCTCCACTTTTAAATCGAGCTAGCTCACTTCCTCAGTTGTGTACTTGACCTGTAGCTCAGTTCCCCCCCCCACGTTTTTAAAGCCAGAAACAGACACGTTCCTGGCTTGATCGTTTTAGCGGAAACACCTTTCAAACAGTATTATTAATGTAATATTTTGTTATAGCTGCTCGTGAAGACCACCATGGAGAAAGAAACCCCCGCTAAAAAGGCTGCAGCGCCTTCTGTGTCCCAGATCAATGCTGAATACGTCACTCAGGTAATGTAACCTACAGCTGTGTGTCGAGGACAGAGAGTGTCTCCTCATCCACAACGAGTTTAGCAGAATAACCTGTAAATGATCTAATGAGCTTCTCAGTGACTGTACTTGTTGACAAGAGATGTTCAGTGATGCTTCTAAGTACTTGGTGCATGTGTGAGGTGCAAAGATGGGGACGAATGAGAGGAGTTTACTTTTTACACAGGACTTGAGGATTTGCACTATAGATCAAATAATATCTGTGAAGGCTCTCAGTCATCCAGATATGTTCAGGAGTTGTGCAAGTGGACACAGGCGAGCAGGCACAAGCAAGTCCATTTGCCTACTTGTACAACACCTGAAGATGATGTCTAGAAGGTTGCTTGCTTCATATTTTCATGTATTTGTTATTAAACCAGGAAAGGACACATTCAGGCCAGAAAGCATTGAATGTTCATTGTTAAACATGAAGGGTTCAACACATGCATAGACATGTAATGCACCATCAGTGAATTTCATCCTGCCTTGTTGGGTGGCTGTGGCAATTCAGGAGTTAAACGTCACCCCACTAACCAGAGGGTTGGTGGTTTGACCCCTGGCTCCTCCAGTCTGAGAAACTGAACCGTCTGATAGAAGAAACACAGTATAAAGTTGCTCTGTATGAATGTGTGTGTGATTGGGGAGAATGTACCATTTGACTACTGTTAAATATTTGTCTTATTTCTCGTTTCAGTTGGCGAATAAATATTGGGCTCCACATGCAAAGAATAAACTACCATTCGACCCTAAGGTGAGGTATAGTCGTTGTTGTATCCCAGAGGTATAAACATTTAGAATTTTTGCAGTTGATCTACTTTTACAAGTATGTGGAAATGCTCTAGTATATTGATATAGTATATTTTAATTTGTCAGCTCTAAAGAAAATGTTTTTTTAGTACTGAGGTGCTTGGCTGAACTCACAGAATTTTAACATCCATTGCTGTTTGTTTAGGTGATGGAAGATGTGTACGAGAAAGAGATTCTCAAGTCCAAGTAAGTAAATATAGCATCCTTAACTTGAACTGCCTTTTAAATCCAAAATACACATCGTGCCGTTAACCGATTTCGGTCTGGTGTCTTTCCTTTCTGTTTTCAGATTTGCCATCAGAAAGATTATGCTGCTTGAGTTTAGGTGAGATATTACACTTCCTCTAATTGCTTCTATTTACTAAGAAGTCATCAAAATTTTAAAAAAAAATAGATAACAGCAATTGGTGGATTGATATTGATTTATTATTTTCTTATTTTTCAGCCAGTACCTTGAGAACTACCTGTGGGTGAACTACACCCCTGAGGTGTCCAGCAACGCCTACCTCATGTCCATTTGTTGCATTGTCAACGAAAAGTTCAGAGAGAATGTCCCAGCTTGGGAGGTAAAAAGAAAATCCATCACTTATCTAAGTTTGGATTGATTGTTATCAGATTGTAATCACAATTTTAGTTTTTGTTGTTTTTTTGTTTATCATTAATTGACACTACTATCTTTGCTGTTGTCTGGTGTGTATCAGGTGTTCAAGAAGGAGCCCAGCCACTTTCCTTTCTTATTCAAATGCGTGATGGAAGCTGTGTTGGCAGGCGAGGAGGCTGGCCTCACACTGAAAGAACAAACCGTGCTGCTGGTCTTTCTGGATCACTGCTTCAACAGTCTGGTGAGTACCATTACACTGACATCCAACAATTAGACACAACCAACTGGAGAAATGAGTCTTCTCTTTGTAATCTCATTACAGTGTTAAGTGGTTAAAGTCTTTTCTCTAATAAAACCTTGTCACCAAGATTTATTTTGATATCACAGCACACACAAGCAAAGAGTAACCACTGTCATATTAAACATTCGAATTGGCATTTTCTATTTTTGAAAAATTGAAATTTTTTTGTATCATATACGTCCTAGCAACATTACTAACTACTCTAACTTTACAATAACTGTTGTTATAGTCGATATGACTTGAAGGCTTTAGGATGAGAATTTAAATAATCTGACTTCTACCTATTATTGTTTGCAATGGCAAAATGCCTTGTTGTGGAAATGAAGACAGTAGTTTGTAATGTCCACTAGGTGGCAGTCCCAGACCACGCAGTCCAAGCTGGGTCACCTCCCATCTGTATCTTCTGCAGCCGCATTAAACCACTGGGAAGCACTGCAGATGTCTCACTTTAAAATCTGCTGTGATAGCCTGCTGCACTTTGATTGTATCATATAAAGGCCTCTAAATATTTTAGTTGCAGACTTTTATTATTGGATGAAGTGTAATAAAAATCTGTCACATGCAGTACATTTTGACAAACCCCCCCCTCCCCTTTCTCTCCCTCTCTCTCTGGTCGCTCTCTCCCAGGAGGTAGATTTGATCAGAGAACAGGTGCAGCAGCTCATCTCTCTGCCGATGTGGATGTGCCTTTTACCAGTAAGATGTCAACCTATTACCCTAATTAAGTCTCCCTGGTGGTTATCGGCACACACAAAGTAATGACTTTGCTCGATAATTCCATTGGAAAGAAGTGCGTCATGGCTATGACACCAGTCCTTAAGATGAAATGGATTCGACTGATTTGTTTCTGTCATGTTTTCAGTCCCGACTCCAACACGAGCTGAAGAAAGTTCCAAAGCTGCAGAAGTTCTGGAATCTAATAAAGAAGAAATCTGAGAAGATGGATGCCGATGCAGCTGAGCTGTAATTTTTTTTTCTTTGCTTGGTTTATATTTATACAGACAAACAGATTGTATTCCAGAACTCTTCTCTGATTTCTGTTTATTTTTTGTGTCTCCCTCAGGGCAGAAAAAGAGAGGACCTTCCTCTCGGCTCTCATTAAAAAATTTCTCGGGGTTCTCATGTCAATTCCGCCATCAGGTAAACAGAAAAAAATGCATTTATTTCCCTTGGGATCTCATTGTATTATTGTATCCAATGACTTGGAATTCCCTCAGCAACAACAGGGGCCATTAGAGCTAGGCTGTATTGTCTGAAACAAGTGATCCGTAGTTTTGAATTCTACCTCCAAATTCTCTAAAAGTTAATGATCAGGTTATTTTCCTGTGACTCTGGTCTCAAAAAACATATTTCCATGGTCTTGTGTAACCCCTCTGTGCATGATTAATGTACTCAGGCTTTTCTAGGGCATTCACAAGGTCCGAGACAATGTCTCTTCAAACCTTAGTGTCAGTCTGAAACACAATATTACCCCTTTTCCCCACTATTCTATTCCTCCCTCCTCTCTTTTTGAGTCATGCGGATGCAGAAGGAGCATGCAGCCAGCTGCCACTGAGCCACCAGCACTGACTACTATGTTGTAATGCAGGCTGACACAGAGCCCCCCCCCACCTGAATGCTAAAAACAGAATATGTGCATTTGTGTGTTTAGGTAGAATTCAAACCTGACACACTAGATTATAATCCAAAGGCCAGCAGGAGTCACATCACTCTAATACTGTGTGCATACACACGTGCACACCAACATGCTTAATGAGGGCTGAGGTCCCAGCATGCTGCTGTGCTGGCAATGCAGTATCTCATAGTGCAGCTCACACACTCAGCATGGCACCTTGGTGTTGTCCACATGCATTTGTTGTTCTCATGTCCTTGGTGATAACGTACAACCTCCTTTCCGCTGCTACATCAGATCTTTTTTTGGCATTGTATGTGCATACGATTGCGTCTGCTTGTCTGTCAGGGTGCATTTTTCATTGACAACATGTATTCTCTGATCTAAAGTGAAGTGCTAACCTCCATGATCTTCCTCCCTTTTCTACAGAGGCCGTCTCCATGGACAAAGTACATTATTGTGAGCGATTCATTGAACTTATGATTGATTTGGAGGTAAGACACCACCCTGATGCACTATAACCTACACTATAATTCAGCAAATATGACATTGTGCTGTTTGAACTGTCTCATGCTCAAAATGATTATGGTAAAATATAATACCCTCCCAAGCAAATTTTCACTCTGTATGTGCACTAGAAGAGTATAGGTCCGAAGTATATTTGCTTAATCGTGGTATCCTGAATGGAAGTGGTGTAGACATCCGTTTCTGCAGAGCTCATTTGCCTTTTGTCCTTCATATTTATAGCCAAGTCAGGTCAACAGACAGTGGGCGAATGTCCAGTCTCAGCTCCACCCAATGCGTCACTGTCATTGCTGTCTGCGAAACTATGCAGGATGTGAAACCGTAGTCTTTGATCGGCGTGTGAGAGGTTATTTTCAGCCTGACAGCCAAGCTTTTGACATTCGGCTTAAGGTGTAGAGTAATGAGCAGTGTCTGCTTGATGCAATAGTTAGAAAAGAGATTAATCCTCGTGTTTAAAGGAACAATAGTTCATATTATTTCTTCATTGTATGGTGTTATCACTTTGTAAATTGACAACACGTCGGTCTAAATTAGCTATCAAATGTCATACCCTTGATTCCTCATCCACTTTCATATGCTGGAGTGCAGTTAAAGATTGTTTTGCAGGTGATATGCAGAGGAAGTAAGACTACTAATTAGACTAAAACTTGAACTCGAGCTGCATCTATATAACAATACTTTTTGCTATGATCATTGTTTTTGTATGCAAATGCATCTGTATTTATCTAGTTTGTGTTGTAGGAAGGGTGGTTTGAAGTGAAGACACAATGCCACTCATGATAGTTGCTCCTGCAGCCTTTGCAGATCTGCTGTTTCAACCAAGCGAGCTCAATAGATCTCATCTGACTTGACTGCTGACAGGCCGGCCTTGCTGTTCCTGGCAGCGGCTAGTGGCCGGCAAGCTGACTGTCTCCAGAGACGGCTCTTGTCCCTTAGCACTATCCTTTTACAAAGCCTCAGATGCCTGAAATCCATACTTCCCCTCTCTGATGACGACCTGTAAATTAATGCAGGAAAAAAAAATCCCATGGCTGTTTCATGCAGGCTGTCAGGACTATGTTGAGATCAAAGATGGCTGCTGGATGTAAGGGTATCTGTTCTCTCAGTCTTTAGGTATCACTTGCCGCAGCTGGTTCCTTTGAAGAGCTTTTTTGAATGAATAGAATACGAGTTGTTTCATTTTGTTGGTGTTGTGCATTTCCGTCTTTTGTTTCATATTCTATTTCACAATGCTGTGTTCTTTCTCTGGGCTGTTCTGCACGTTCAGCCTTCACAGTGTAATATACACAAATGTTCTGTTCTGCGCCAGTCATCCTCTCACTTAGTTCATTCAAATGTTCAGTGTCTCTTCGGTGTATTCCGACCAAAGCACCTCTGTTATCTCATTTTGACAGGTTTCCTCTTGTTTCTGCCTTTTTGTCATGTTCCTGCTCCACAACAAGCAAGTTGCAGCTGAATCTTTTTTTATGTATTTTTTTTCTCCTGTCAGCTTCGTAGCTCACTATCGGGTTACCTTATCGTTTGTCTCTCGATCATATGTTTTAAAACAACCTCAAGACAAAAAAAGACCATGGATCAATAAGACGTATGGACAATCGCGGTCCAGATTCTGGGAACTGTGGTTGTTGTTAGATGAATTGATTCCTCTGACCCCCTGAGAGAGGTGTCAGCTTATAATGATGCCACATTCCTTTTTGCTGTGGTGGACAGACATCAGATAATCTTTATTTCAAATCATTTTTTTGTCTTCCTAAAGTAATTTTGCACTAAAGCAGCGTTTTTCCTGTTTGTGCAAAATTTATTCCAGTTACATTCAGTTGTAATCACTTTAAAGTCAGTTCTGTTAAGCCTGTAGTTCTGTTAAGCCTGTAGTCCAAGCATTTAACATGTTTTTCTGTGTGTTCAGGCCCTGCTGCCCACCAGGCGTTGGTTTAATACAGTGTTAGACGACTCCCACTTGGTGGTCAGCTGCCACCTGTCCAGCCTCACCCAGAGAGAGAAGGAAGGACATCTCTTCTGCCAGGTACAGCACACACAGATGTGAGATTATATGTATCTCACATCTCTACGTGTGAAATGATTGTGTGCATATTGAGATCAAAATTTCATTTTATAGAAGTATCTCATGCTGTTGTTTCATCTTGGTAGTTGTTGGACATGCTGAAGTTCTACACAGGCTTTGAGATCAGTGACCAGACAGGAAACGCTCTGACGCAGAAAGAGATGACTACACTTCACTATGACAGAATCACGTCTCTACAGGTAAAGAAGTGTAAAAGGTCAAAGACAGACATTCAATTAGCCACAGTTTCTCTCATGCTTGTTGCTTTTGTGTGTGTGTATTTCTCACTGACATCTCTTTAAAGTTGGTCTTGTAGTGTAATTACTATTTGTATTTAATTCATGTTTATTGTTTTGCTCTTTGTGTTCCGTCTTGCAGAGGGCAGCTTTTGCTCATTTCCCAGAGTTGCAGGACTTTGCTCTGGCGAATGTTGCAGCGGTAGACACTCGCGAATCCTTGACCAAACACTTTGGGCATCTCAGGTAAAGCACAACTTTCAAAGTGAATCATTAAATGAACTTTCAGTTTTATCAGTGCACAGATGGAGGGAGGTGGTGGGAGGTTATGCATGATTGGACTGAGTAAGATCACAGTGAACTGTTACTAATATAACTGCTTTAGTGTTGTTTCAGTCGACAGAACATTTTCCTGATGTGCGCATGTAGTTTTTACGTACTTTGAGTTGACTCAGTTGTTTGCTTTATATTTGCCTCTTGTGGAAGTACTTTCTCTTTTTACCATATACAGGACCCTTGGTATCTGTATGGTGTTAACAGAAAATACCTTAATGTCATGCCGAAGAGTTTCACACAAACAAACCCTGCAGCAAACCAGTACAGAAAGAGATATCCTTATCTGGCCCATGACTTTTAAAAGTTCTTTGGACCACCAACACTTATACCCATCTTGGTCTTATGTTGCATTATAGCATCAGCCCCACCGTTGCTGCCTGACTTCCCTGCTAAATGGCAGCAAGTGAGCCCTTGAACAGGCAGCTGGTACCAGCCAGAGAGAGGGGCACGCCTCATTAATTTAATCGATTTGCAGTGGCTTGAGAATAAACTCTTTGAACAGCTGTGTTTGTCAGATCATATTAGCTTGCCAAAGAGCCAAAAAGCACCCTCGCTTTTATGCACTAGCCAGTGTGTGGTTTTTCTGACTGGTACACGTGCGTGAAGGAGAAAAGACATTGATTTATTGTTCATTTGTAATTATGTCAGGGTTTCCAACCCTTCTTGGCATTTGATATCATAATAAAAAAAAATTATTACTGACACAAGCTTTTAAAAGGTCTATAAGCTGTCATGTTTTGGCTCTACACCACACTTTAAGTGAGTTACTGATTAGTTGATTGTTTGCACGGTAAGTGATGTCTTTATTTGCTCTGAGGTGCAATTGTTGGAACACCAGAAATGTACTCTTTGCAGTTTGTTTCCACATCCATCGCGTCTATTTAACTTTTGCAGTGGATTACAAATGCATAAACCCCACACTAAGTTTCTTTGAGTCAGGCAGGTGGTTATGAGCCGAGCTGAGCTGAATCAGGTAAAGACTTAGCTGAACCATTTCATGTATTTCTGGAAGCTCTGCTCTTTTCCCCAGAATTAGGGTTTTGAATTTAGCAAGAAGTGCATTGTTCCCTTCTCCACAACTGTCACCAAAGAAGCTCCTGGGTAACTCCAAATATGCCAATCAGATTTAACAAGGCACTTTTCATCCAAACAACTCATGCTAATGCCAGTTTATTCCAGATGCGCTACCCATGGGCTTAGCTCGCAGTCACCCGCGCTCTGAATATATCCGCTAAGTCCCCCAAACACACAAACGCAGCATTACTGCAAAGCCTGCCCACACATATACAAACCTATTCTTCCACATATACACAGACACACACATACACATACACATACACACACAGATGCTTCTTCTGGTTACGTCTGTTACGAGTGTCATTTCAGGTCAAGAGGAATGAGCACCTGATTAAAGCATTGCTTTGTGAAATGCTAGAAATGGTTGAAGGAGTCCTCACTACTGGAAATGTCGAAATAATTGGTGTACTTTGTTCGGTGAATTAGTTGTTCAGCAGGGTCCTGTCACTGGAAAGGGTATTTTTAGTCCATCACCTTCACTTTTCATTTAATTTTGGTTCCTGTTCTCAGGGTTTCATCTGACAAAGAAAAGAAAACAGAATAAAGATGGCAGTTTAATTTTCAGCAGATTACTTAACCAGGAAAGCCATTTATCGCTTTTTCTTGTTGTATGTAAAACAAGGCTTGTAGTTGACTTAAAGCACCCTGAACTTACTCGGTAATATCAGTTGTACTTTGCTAAAGTGCCGAAAACACACACCTCACCTAAAATGACTTATCTCAAAACTCATGGGTCTAGACATCCCTCCGGTTGTAGAGTGAACTTACTGTGGACCACTTACTGTTACGTCCACATCCTTACCTTACCCTGCCCGTGGCTCAGCTGTCAGTCATGACCTGGTCCAGTCATCTCTATTACTCAGAGTGAGCTGTTGTGCTGCTGCTATTTTGTTGCTAAGGGAAGGAATGTCCACATGACCGATGCCAGGTCATCCACTGGGCCACCAAACTGCAACATTGGCAGAATTGCCACCCCATTGGCCAAGCTTAGCATCCCAACTTGCAGAATGTATGCAGATACACGGATTCAGTCGGTCAGTGCCACGTGTGGCTGTCCGGGCCTGTCACAATGTGTCCAGGGCCTGTCCTTCGCTGTGTACCAGACCCTGCCTGTGTCACAGTGTGTCAGCCTGATTAAAACAGGTCTGTATGCAGAAAGCCACGCCTCGGCCTTTCGAGACGGAGATGGGCTTTGATTTTCATAATCCTGTCGCATCAGTGCGGCTCGGCCCCTTAACACACACGCTGACAGAGCAGGAGTGCAGAGTCAGAGCAAACAGGAGAAATGCTTTGTGCCACAGTGCTAACAAGCACAAAGAATTTGATAAGGCTGTGCATTTTCACACATGTAGTGTTGTTGCTGTCATCACAGTTTAAACAAATCTCTCTCAGATGGAAAAGTATTGCCCAAATTATACAAATATATTTCACCAATCTAATATATCGTCTTAATGTTTTTATTATCATTATGTAATGTTAGTAGACATCAGATTGTCATGTATCATGTTGTTATCTTGACCTTCACCATTTCAGTCATTACCAATTCATTCTCACTGGACACCAATAGCTTAATTTCCATCCCTGCGAAGAGAGTGTCAGCTGAATGTGTAATATGCAAATGTTATTTATGGAGCCGACTTGTTTATCTCATCTTTCTCCACAGTCCCAACACGCTCCACCAGGTGGCCTCGTACCTATGTCTTCTGCCAGAGCTGCCTGAAGGGCAAAGCACCACCTATGAGAAGGAGGTTCTTCTTGAGCTGCTGGTTGGTGGCTTTTATTATACTGTCTATGCATATTTGAGTTTACAAGCCACAGTGGCAAAGATGTGTCTTTTTGTGGTCTGTTGTAATTTACAACAGTCAAATCTATGACTTGTTAAGTGTCTCTTCCAAACAATGCAAATTATACGTGAGGCTTCACAATGGAATATATTGTTTTATTATACTTTGCAGTTTATCTTTATGGGGGAAAAAACGGGGCGTAAGTGACTGTTCTAGTCCCGGTGTGCTTGTTTTTCTGTAAATAAATATAATGTATAATAAAAGTAAAATATGCATCCCAGGCAACCTTTAACGCCTCAGACCTTTTAAACTGCCCATATAGAGATTGTTTGGATAAACAAGGGAATGAAGCATGACCTCATTCACAGTGCTTGTCAACAAGCCATATAAAAGATGTAGCATTAGTACTGGTGCACCCTTTCAACACTGTTGGTGAACAGCTATTCAGCAGAACAATAACCGGGCAGTCCATCGCTACAGCATAATAGATTTTGTGTTTCTCATTTTAGAGTCATTAATTAAAGATGTTGACCTTGGAATACATATAGTCTCCCCTCCTCACTCGCTGTCCCTCTTGAATTTGCCTTCTAATCCAATTACTGCTCTATGTGGGTATTTGTGTGACCTAGGGTAAACTGAAGACAGTGCTGATGAGATAAAGAGCTTGTTTTTTTAGTATCTTTTGCAAGACTGGAGCTAGTCTGATCATGGTCTCTGGTTCCCCGTCCCTCGCTCTTCCAATTTCCCTTTTTAAAACCCCTCCAGGAATCAGCTGGATCCTTGTTCCATTACTCTCCCCACATACATGTGGTGTAGACCTCTTCATCAAAGTGGCTGTTTTTAAGGCGGGCCCTGCATTTATTCATAATTACCCACTCAGAACCTCCCCACGTCCTCTCTGAGAACGGATGGAGAAGAGCTGTTTCTTAATCATCTGATTAGATTGTTGTTGAAGACAATGTCAGGGGGCACATTTATGTATGCCTAAGGTTGCCCCCAACAACCAACATCTCTGACCAGGTGGGTTTAAGGGGAACGGGCCACAAGACCAGAGCTGTGACACACAAAAGCAAAATAATGATGCACACTGCAGAGAATGTGGTCACACATGTGCTGAGGGAGGATGAACTGCTCTCTCTGAGAAGTAGTGCTGCTTTTACACCAGCGCCAGGGTTTGGCTAATTTAGGCTTTTTTTTCCCCTCTGGTGTAACTGATGAGCTGGTTTGTATTCAGCAGCAGATATCACCCCCTTGACAAAGTGAATAATTCATTTAATGGGTCTTTTTCCAGAAGAGTAAAGGCACAATGGGAAAGATGGTTGTGTTCACAACCACAAAATCTCAGAGGAGCAGGTGCTGAGGTCAAAGACTAATGTAATAAAGTAGATACTTGCACACCAGAGTAAAAGCTTTTCCTCTTATCAGCATTGTTCTACAAAACAAATTCAATTAGATGTCCATATAAAAGAAATTACCAAAATAATATGTATCTAACAAAAATGACCAGTGTCTTCATCACTGCTAAATCACACTTGTAATAATGTTTGAATACATTTTAATCAAATATCTAATCACAATTCCTGAAGAGATCCCCAATGTGGGTTGCTGATATGCCAGAATACATGGTAATGTCTAGTCTTTAAAGGGGCCCATTTTGAAGCATTTTAGCAACATTGATCCTGGAGGTCTAGCAGAAAAACTACACTGAGGGGAATACAAGTGACAATAGCTTCAGTTAAACCAGCTGAACATGTTGTATAAGATGAAACCAATGTTTTTTTATTCTAGTAACGGAGAAAAGACCTGAAACAGCCAGACAAATAAGGAACACTTGTTCATTAACCCAATTTCTCTGTGTGCGGCTTTGTCCCCTCTCTCTCTCTCTTGCCTGACACACACAGGTATCACGTCATGAGCGCAGAATCTCTCAGATTGAGCAACTCAACCAGATGCCCCTTTATCCAACAGAGAAGATAATCTGGGATGAGAACATCGTCCCGACAGAGTACTACTCAGGCGAAGGTGGGAATTGTGACTGTGTTTGCATGTCTGTGTCTTTAAGTGAGTTAATATGCACTTAAAATGATTTCAGTGTCTAGTCAATCCCACGCCTTGTCATTTCTTATCCTTGGGGCACTCGATGGAGTGAAGTGGTAACCCTCTCTTAGGGAATCCTCTTTAGTTGTCAAGGACACCTTCAGAAACTCACACACTACTAAAGATTCAAGCTGCATCCGTCATTTATAAATGTACAGTAGTCTGCATAAAAATATAGTTTGTATAAATAAGGTAGCTTCATAAAACTGGACATTCAACTTCTTTGCAATTTGATAGAACTAAGTATGTGTTTTTACTCATGCATATTTGTTTCCACTGTGTGTGTCTGAGCCTATTTATTTGTCCCTCTCAGGCTGCCTAGCACTGCCCAAACTGAATCTCCAATTCCTGACGCTCCACGACTACCTGTTGAGGAACTTTAACCTCTTTCGTCTGGAGTCCACCTATGAGATCAGACAGGACATAGAGGATGTGGTGTGGCGAATGAAACCATGGTGAGATGTCCTCAATTCTTCAAAACCACAGGAAACGTGTGCTAGGATTTTGGTTTAAATGTTTTCATTTGTTAAAGGTACAGTGTGTAGAATTTTGTGATATCTAGTGTTGAAATTGCATGTTGCAGCTGAACACCCCTCACCTCACCCTCTCCTTCTAAACATGAAAAAGAACCTGTGGTAGCTTCAGTTGTCATAAAAAATCGAAAGGTGTTTAGTTTGTCCAGTCTGGACTATTGTAAAAAACATGGCGGCCTCCGTAGATATAAAGTATTTACATATAAAGGGCCTTTTCTAGGGTAAAAAAAACTACAATTCATACAATTTAGATGAAACTAACTAGTGAAAACATCATGAGGAATATTCTACATAAGATTTCTGCCAATAGTTCCCTTTCACCTAAATCTTACACACTGGACCTTTAATGTCACATAACCGTACTGCTCTTTAAAACATCAATGTTCTGAAGAAGACATGGGCTAAGAAGCTCTTCCTTAGCTAAGGTTTGAAGAATCTAGATTTGTCATATTCTAATTTTTAGAATGTGCAGTGAAATCCCTGGGTGACACACTCAAAGACGATGCAATAAAAAGCTCATACAGGTTCTGAGTTTGAAAATACATTGTTGTACACACACTGATAAGCATGACTTGTTTTTTCTCTGCCTAAGTAGAACAAATTTCTACCAATAGCTCAGCTACAGCACACTTCTTATCGTCTGTCTTCTTCTCAAACTGTGGCATGATAATATTTTATTGAAAGACGGTGACATTTAGAGCGACACATTTGGAAACCCACTGCTTAACATAATAAGTGCTCCCATTATGTCAAGTGATGTGGCAACTTGCCTGTTGTTGCTGCAAAAGTAAATAAATAAAGCAGACGCACTGTCCTAAATCCACCTTGTTTTCAGTCCTGAAAGCAGCCCACAGTACTTGTCTGACTTCCTGTTGTGTCTGTTCCCCAACACAGGCAATCAGAGTACGGTGGAGTGGTGTTTGGAGGCTGGGCCAGGATGGCTCAGACAATCACTGCTTTCTCCATAGTGGAGGTTGCCAAGCCCAACATTGGAGAGAGCTGGCCTGCTCGTGTTCGAGCTGATGTCACTGTTAACCTCAATGTGCAGGATCATATCAAGCATGAGTGGGAAGGTAATAAAATACTTGTTTTTAACATTAGAAAAAATATATTTTGTAATTATCTTAATCACCATTTATATTTGATTATTTGTCAGCTATGTTATAACACATATACGGTATATTTACATTCATTTGTACTGTTTACTTATTGCACTGCCACACCATTACTTTTCTTATTTCCTCCTAGAAAATGGTTTATCACCTCTATATAGTTTTCCTTTACCCCTCGATTCCATCCCACTGGACCTTGACCTATGACCCCTGCCTACCTGATGTTTCTGTGAAGACATAACATTTCTGTGTAGCCTCCACCATTAAGCCTCTTTGTTTTATTCCCTGATCTTTCTTCTGGGTGTGTTTGATAGGGACACTGTAGATAATGTTAACAGGCGCATGTCAACAATGAAAGACATTGATTCACTGGGGACATAGAAAACACAATGAAGCCTTCAGCGGGCTGTCCACTATCGCTCTCCAGTATGTATGAAAGTGGTTAAAAAAAATAGAAAGCTTAATGTATCCCAAATTGATCTCTCCACTTTCTTTATACCCGTTTTTATGGTTTTACTTTCCTCTTTGTAATTCAGTGGAAGTATGAAGTGTAACTTGCTTCTATCCAGTAGCCCTCTCCCCATCGTATAATTAGAGCCTCATGTTTTAAAGATCAGGCGAATGCTGACGGAGCGGTTTCAAACTTCTCCACTCTACTACTCTTTTTTCACTAACACTCCTCTTTCTGTTTCTGTGTCCTTTTTATTCTCCTTAAAATTCTTTCTCTGTCTCTCCCTTAACGTCCTCTCTGTCTCTAAATCCCTGTTCTTTCAGTCCTTCTCTCTATCTAACTGCTCTCTCCCCCAAATCCTCTCTCCCCGTAGGCCTTCGGAAGCACGACGTTTGCTTTCTGATCACGGTGCGGCCCAACCTGCCCTATGGCACACGCTTCGACCGGCGCCAGCCCTTTGTGGAGCAGACTGGCCTGGTGTATGTGAGAGGCTGCGAGGTGCAGGGCATGCTGGATGACAAGGGACGTGTCATTGAGGAAGGTATGCTCATATAGTGACCCCACACACACATGCACACAGGACATCCATCCTCCCGTCAGATCTCCTATACACAATCATCCAGCGACTGGTCCCCTCGACAGGTTCAGGCTGCAGTTGTCATGGTAACGATCACAGTGAGACCTGACCTGGTCACATTAACATTCCATTAGCCCGAGGTCGACAACAACACCGAAGAGCTTCGGGCCCCGCCCTCTGCTTTATTTATTGGATTTAAGAAGAGATGTGCTTCTGTAAAACGACAATGAATGAATGAATATGCTTGTCCTGCAGAATACAGCAATATGATATATAGCATACATTCACCTCTATCTCTGAGGTGTTGCCAGCAACAAAGCATTCTAACATTAGAAACCTGAATTGTGTGCGGCAGGATCTTCATCCTCAGGCTTCCTTATTTCCCCATTAAGAGCCTTAAAATCTGTTGTTATCAAATATACTCAGAGAATCTGTTTCTGTGTACCCACACAGAAGGAATTCCCTCAGACCAAATCCAAAGTATCAGGCCATTCTTAGAAAGTAAAAAATATTCATAAAGTAGCATGATCTCAATTTACCGTGTTGTGCTCTTCCCACAGCCCAAAGCTGTGCCTCTTAGTGGTTGGTTCTGAGTGGTGAGCCTGCAGCCCTGCTATACTAAGTGTTTGCCTTTCCCCTGTTGTAACATGTGTCCATGCACTGAAGCACCCTTTTCCCCCATCCCGTCTCATCTGTTTGGATTAAATATGCAGAGGGCAGGGATTTCTAAAAAGACATCCTGCCAGCCGGTGTCGGCTTGGGTAAACTTTCAGATCCCCAACAGGGATAAGTGGTACTCTCGCTGACTAGGTGGTGGGGGAGAGGGCACATAAATCACAGGGCATTTTGTGACGGGTGGGGGGGTGCAACCCTGAGAGGTGCAGTTTGAGACACTTGTGTTTGAGTAAAATACCATCGTACCATTGTATATTTACTTGATCTAAATTCCCCTATTAATAACTGAGAGTTGGATACAATGGCACATAGTTCTTTTGACTGCTCACACACACACACACACACACACACACACACACACACACACACACACACACAAACACATACACATACACATACACACACATACAGGGGCACGGACATCAGAGGCCAAAAGGATTGAGTTTCACTCTCCAGCTCTGTGCCCTGCAGCACTGTACAAGAATCTATTCAGACATCTATGAAAGCTACACATGCTGCACTGCACAAACCCCCGATGGGAGTGAGTCTAAAGCCTGTAGCCTGTCAGTCAAACATCTACATGTGACTCCTATTCCTGAGGAGTCGAAGTTTTTATAGCATCAAATAACAAATTAAAACCAGATTTCCAGGAAAAATAAGCATTTGAAGAAACAGGTGTGATAAGAACAACTTATAATGACAGAAACCATCTATGAGAACACATTTTTATTTTTATAGATTAGATTGTAAAAGTGTTTAAAAATGTCCTACAAATTTAGAAGTATTACTCTTGTATTAATCACTTATCTAACCACTTACTGTTCCAGGACCTGAACCAAAGCCAAAGCTGCGAGGAGACGCCAGAACGTTCCGTGTTTGGCTGGACGCAAACCAGTATCAACAGGACATGACCAGCAGTATTCAGAGTGGCACCGAAGACCCGTATGAGACTTTCAACATCATCATGAGACGCAAACCCAAGGAGAATAATTTCAAGGTTTGGACCACGTTCTGAAGCACACAGGTCACTCACCTGCACCACACAGCGTATTTGAGTGCTTTATCTTCAGTCCTTGAGCTCTGGTCAGACCAACACCACCTCTGAGTGATGTATGGCACATATTATACTCTCCCTGGAATTGTAGCTATAAGGTTGGGGTCAGGGCAGCTCTGAGATTACCACCCACTCAAGGCTCCCCTCCCCGGTGATCCCACTGGGAGACACTTCTCACTGGATTTTCGTGTCATACATACTGACCTCCATCCCACCCTTAAAGACCCAGTGTGTACGATTTAGTTGATAGGGATCTGTTTGCAGAAATTGAATATAAAATAATTATAGTCATGTTTTTAATTGTGCGTAATCATCTTGAGCCCACAAAACACTTTTGGAGTTTCAGTTTTGCAGCCAAATCCAATACAGTTGAAGTAACTGGTGACTCCTTCGTTATATACTCGTGTTGTGCTATCCAAATGTCTGTAAGCCCCAACATTCATTTTTGACTTGAAACAGCCTCATTTACACCATGTTTTAGGTCTAAAAACACGGTGCCCTGTTAGAGCCCTGATGTGGTAGCAAGACAACATTGTATATAATATACAATAATGCCTTGTGTATCTTATATTGTCAGTTTAACATTGTGGTGTCTCAGCAGCACCCTGCTTTTAAAGATAGTTCACAAAAGGTAAATCTACATTGATATTCCTATCAAAGTTTTCAGCAGGTCATAGAAGTTATCAGTGCTAATGTGTGAAACTTTTATTAACAATCACATCTGTCTTAAAGTGTTTTTTGCTCCGTTTTGCTCCAGTTTCTTTAGAACGTACATGCACAACTGCACAAAACTCTTTGCTTTTTATTCTTGTATTTAAGAGGTTCTCATTACCGCTTTGTCAAATGAGCTTTTTCTTATTTTGTCAGAGGTTTTGAAGCAGCCTCCTTTTTTTTTACTTGAGCTTGAAAAACACAGGAACTAATGGGTATTCAAGAAACATTCTTCTCCATCTTTGATGTGTGACACAGATAAAAGTAAACATGTTTCCCGACACTTTGTTTGATGCATACGGTATTAGACAGTTTGCGGCTCATTAAAATATAATTGACAGTCAGTCAAACTACCTGCTTTCCCATCAGCCCACCACAAAGCTATTCTTATCCGGCTAAACCTCCTCTTGTGGGATGGTTGTCTGTTGTCTGATTGTCTGCCTCATTCAGTTAGATTTTTCCTTCAGGCTCTTTTTTTATAGTTTTGTATCTGACATATTTCTCTCTGTTTCAGGCAGTGCTAGAAACCATCAGAAACCTGATGAACACAGAGTGCGTCGTCCCAGACTGGCTTCACGACATTATTCTCGGCTATGGGGACCAGGGCAGTGCCCACTATTCCAAAATGCCAAATCAGATCTCTGCGTTGGACTTCAATGACACGTTTCTGTCTTTGGACCATTTACGTTCTTGTTTCCCCGATAACACCATAAAGGTCACAGAAGAGAATCCTGACCTGCAAGTCCCCCCTTTCAGGTGAAAGTCAAACATACAGTTATAAAGTAAAAGAGAGAAATGTTACAGTTGATCTACATTTAATTTGCAAACTAGATACAATTGATGCCACAATGCTATATATTGTATTGTATTGTAATATGTTGGTTTATGTCCGTAATCCTATTTTCTATCCGTCTTTTGCTTTTCCAGAATCAAGTTTCCCATCTCAAACAAAACAGACAAAGGCAAGAAGAGAAAGGCAGATGAAGAAGTGGAAGACAAAGAGGAAGACATGACCTTGCTCGTTGAGCCCTATGTCACTCCCAACCGTGGTCCATATCCCTACAACCAGCCCAAACGGTGAGAGGTCAAGGCAAAGTGTCTGGTCCTCCCATTAACAACTGGTCCTGACTGTATCCATGTTTGTCGTCATGGTGTCTCTTCCAGCGTTAAATGTAGTGGTGCTATTTTGGTTGTGGTTTTTGCCAACAGTAATTGATGCTTTAATATTCCTGTACTCATTAGAGCACCACAACATAATTGCCCTTCATCAAAATTGAAGATTATTCCACTGGTGTTTCTAAGATTTCCGGCTTATGCTTTGATATTTAAATCTTAATGGCAACAGCATGTCCACGGGGACTGTGCGTCTAAATATACTTTCAAAAAAGTTCAGAACAAAACTTGCTGCATTAAGCGCCTCTTAAAAAACACTTGAGAGCAAATATGTTTATGTTGTCAATAGCAATAACTTATTTTTTTTTACAGGAATACAATTCAGTTCACTCCCACTCAGATTGAAGCCATTCGAGCTGGGATGCAGCCAGGCCTCACCATGGTAAGAGAGTTGTAATTACTGTTTTATCATTTATTTTATTATAATGTGCTCAGACAACTTTTAAGGCTGGATTGCAGATTTCAAAAGAAAACGACGACGACAAAGAGAGAAAAAATCTTAACAGCCTCCAATAAATCATAATTTAGAATATTTGGCTTCAACAGCAAAAGTGAAGCCAAAAAATATATAAGTCCAGTCGTATAAAGTCATGCATAACCTTGAGTGAGAGAGATAGTGCAGGTTCATACTGCTCCAGCTCATCTAGAAAGCTTTGCAGACATTAATCTTAGTGATGAATAGCAAGGGTGTTCCCTTAACAGTAAATTTGACAACTCAATCTCCATCATTCATGTAGAGTGTTGTCACATTTCCCTGAAATCCTCTCTGTAATTTTGGCCTTTCCAGTGAAATGTTCAACCCCACATAAAATGGCATGGAATCTCAGCTATGGATAAATCCAGTTCATAGACACATCCAGAGTGTTATTCCAGCTGTATCTCCAGAGTTGTGTAGCTGACACTTTTTTGACATAAGTGCTATTCCGCTGTGGTGACTAGAAGCTGGCACTGAGCTCTGAGTTATTTATTGTTGCAGCTATCTGAGGTAAATAAGGCAACGAGGCTATCATCGGAGTCGTAAAACAACTCTACATGCAAAGCCTCTTCTGCTGCTCTCCTCGCTCCCTCTCACCTCCCCTCTTGGCATGTGTCACAGTCATTAGCAGCCATAACAAACACACACCACCTCCCAGTCTGCCGAGCTTGGCTTTCATGTTGGGAGACCAAGGAGCTGATTATGTACTGATTTATGCAGGAGCATCTAATTGTACTTAGTATTTTTAGCACATATTACTCACCTGAGAGACCCACACTCAGACCAACCTGTTTCATGAATATTTATTCAATAAATTAGATGTGTTATTCCCCCAGTTAAATAAATGTAAGGCTTATTATTATAGTAACAGAGATGAAGTGTAACTAGAAATTACTTCGTAAGATGTATTTTTTTTCTTCCTATAGCTTTTCTCCTTCTTCTGTAGCTCTCTTGTTTCCTCCCCCATCTGTGCAGTCAACAGGACTGTCTTGTCATGCCAGGCAACACCACTCTGCACTGGGTCCGTCTGAGCGTGGCTAACGATGGGGCACTACCCTAGCCTGTTCTGACATGCCCATGGCCGAGCTGTCAAAACCACTAGATTGTCTACAGGGGGGGCGCCTTTGCAGCGTAACCTAACTTCTGATTATGCTTCTCTTCTCCTCTTCCTTTCCATCCATTCTGCTTCTCCAGGTTGTAGGACCACCAGGTACCGGAAAGACGGATGTTGCTGTTCAGATCATCTCAAACCTTTATCACAACTTCCCTGAGCAGAGGACCCTCATCGTCACACATTCAAATCAGGTTAACCCAACACACACACACACACACACACACACACACACACACACACACACACACACACACACACAAATAGCGTCTCTGATCTCTGAAAAACACTTTGTGTGAAGCTGTTGAGAGAATTTACAGTTTGTTCTCAGAACTGCCCGTTAATCGGGGCGTAGTCGTATTCGAACCTTGGAGGAAAAATGTAATCTAAGCTCCCTCCTGCCCTGGTCTTACCCTCAGTATTTAATCATAAAGTAATCTGCTATTGTTTTACTCCAGTGGAAACTAGTCAGAGGGAAACTTATCCACTTGAAGTATAGCTGGAAATAATGATTAAAAAAACGTTATCCACGTGCAATATTCTCCTTAACATTTATAGTTCTTATACAAGAATAGACACTATTTTATTTATAAAGCAGCTTTCAGGTAGATTCAAGACGCTTAAATAACACATTACAACACTGTAATAACAAGGTCAAAACAAGTTCATATGCACTGGCATTGTTGATTGATAATAATAAACACACTGAAGAAAGGGTCTTCCTTGTTTGATCATGTTTACTTGTTACCATGGTTCGTTCCCCTCCAGGCTCTGAACCAGCTGTTTGAAAAGATCATGGCTCTAGACATCGATGAGCGTCACCTCCTGCGTCTGGGCCATGGAGAGGAGGAGCTGGAGACAGAGAAAGACTTCAGCAGGTGAGTCAGCATGGGACAGGTGGCGAGAGTGCACACACACAAGCACATGCATCTAAACAAACAGAAATACACATGAAGATATCAAGACAACATGAATTCTTACATGCATTTGTGAAAGTGCATTCGATAAATCACAGTTTTATCACAGCCAACAAAACACACACACACACACACACACGTATTAACGCAGCCCAGCTGCCCACATACATAATTAGCGTGAGCCAACACAGTGACAGGGCTACTCGATACTTCTATATGCCAGGCCAGGAACCTGGTTAATCTTTAGGCATCATTGGCCTCTCAGGCCTTTCTACCAGTGTAAGGGATCTTTCCCCACTGCCCTGCACTCACAAAAAATAGAGCTGTATATTTACCACAGGTATGTTTAGAAAATCTGAAGAAGCCAAGACTGTTTCCACAGCGTGCTACAAGTCACTCTGGACATTCTGGAAACCTTTTCAGTAAACAGTCTACCCCAGTTCCGAAATCTTAGTCTGTATCATTGAAAATCTGTATTTGTAGCATTTGCAATTTCTTGCAAGTTCTTATAATCCATAATGTATTTTGTGATTTACAAATTGTTTAAATGTTAAACAACATGTTTAAGAAGAAGAGAAAGTAGTAAGTACTAATGTTGTCATTTACCAACCTCAGCGAGACATGAAACTTATAGTTTATAATTAATTTACAACATGGTGGAACAATTAAACTAAATACACAAAAACATAATTACATAGAATATAATTCTTTCATTTGTGATTTTAAGACCATCAGTTGTTTATTAAATTAAGTTCAGGGAGGAACCTTAAATCTGCGATGAGACATTACCTGACTGTCATTTAACTAAATCAACATATGGATTTAATACTAGTTGTTTTAGAACATTCTTTGTCTCTACACCCTAATGGGCATGAAACAGACAATTTTGCTATTCCTCATACCACACTGGTGGCAGGGCACAGAACAAACAGCCTCAGACAAGAACCACTAGAGTCCTGTTAAGGAAGCTCCACCAGCTCTCTCGCCCGTGTGTGTGTGTGTGTGTGCGTGTGTGTGTGATGCCTTGAAGGATAGTGACTCACTCCTCACTACTGCTACATAGTGAAATGGGAAAGAGAAGGTGGGGACAGTGCACTTTAAGCAACAATGACAGACTTGAGAAAAAGAGATTATCTCACGATACCCAAAACATTTACAGTTCTACATGACTGCCACTATATTTAACACCGTTATTAGGTGAAACAGCCAGAGCCGTCTATTTTTGAACAGCAATATTTTTAACCGTGGTTCAAACATAGCTCATTATTATTGAATATTATTCAGCTTTTACGTTGTGTCTATTTATAGTTCCCTCATAGCCGACATTGTTAATTACCACCTCATCCTTCTGTGGCTCTGAGCAAATTACACCCTATATCTCTTAGCAACACTTCCAGAGGAGGGAGGGGTTAAGTGCATGTCTCATCTGATATATATCCTGCTCAGTGCGAGTGTACAACTTCAGAATGAGTAACGCTGAATAGGGTCTGCACAGGGGGAAAGCAGTCTGTTGCATTCTTAAATTATGCAGCAACAGATATAAAAGAAAGAGCTTTGGCTAGCAACATTTAATATGTTCCCCGCCTGCCTGGCTGCCTCACAACAACATGCAGACTCTACACTCCTTCCACCCCACTGACACCGAAGAGCCAGAGAGTTTTAATCAACATTGTATATGAGATGAAAAATGGAAGGCAGTGCTCCTCCGAATGCTGAACAAAAGGGAAAACTACGTTACTATCAATTAACAATGCCTCCCTGAATGTCGTGATGAATTTTGTGCCTTTTTAATGAGATTTTTAGAGCGGAACATAGAGGAGATCACAATTAAAATTAATTTGTTGACACTCTCTATTTGTACCACAGATTCATTAAAATCAGTTTTGCCATCCAGGTTCCACCATGTGAGTGTGAAATAAAGTTTCACATTATTGGATTTAAAAAACTATATCGATAAATTAATATTGTTATTCACACCCACGTATCTATTTAGGGTCTCTGTCCCCGAGAGTAGCTGAATGCATTACAGGTGTGTCATCCTGGGAAGCAAGGTCACTACCCTGTTTTATTTTTTTCAGACCAAAAAGGCAGATCAGTGTGGTCGTCTTTGAGTCATCTGCTGACTGAGGATCTCTGCACCGGGTCTAAAAATAGAGCTCACCTCTAGTATTACCCTGCGACCCCTCTCACATCCTGTCTGTGTGCACTGCTCGTTTCATCACCACCTCCTAATTGCTCTCAAGCCTCATTGTTTAGCTGCACACAGACAGAGATGCATGATAGAACCTGAATAAACCTTTAAGTTCTAATTGTCATCTTCAACCTGTAATCAAGGGCCATATTTACAATGTACAGTATCTTACTCTGTGGAACACTGTATGTCCTCAGGTGACCAGAACGCAAGCAGCCTCATGCTCTGATTCAAGGGCAGAAACACAATAAAGGCAACTACAATCAAATTTACTCTAAACCAAATCAACAATAACATGACAACCCTCAGATTGATATCAATACATGGACGATAAACAATATGATGCCATGTTGGGAAGAGATCCAGACCAGATCAGAGGCTGAATCCACATTTGGAGGATCCGTTACATTAGTTGTTTGTTGCATTCAGTAGTTTGTCTGCTGTGTACACCAGCATGTAGTCAGCCCTTAAACACCAATCTCTGTTGCTCCAGATGGTTGTGACTCTGTTTATACTCATATAAAAGTGTTAAGATAGTTGACTAACGATGCTGTGTATCTCCAGATACGGCCGTGTAAACTACGTCCTAGCCAGAAGGCTGGAGCTCCTCCGGGAGGTGGGGAGGTTACAGGAGAGCTTGGATGTCCCGGGAGATGTTTCTTACACTTGTGAGACAGCTGGACACTTCTACCTCTACCAGGTAAGACTATAACAATGTGACTTTGTGTTTTTTTTATGTGTTGGCAATAAAAGAGGAAAAAAGGGTAAAGAAATTTAAAAAAAACAAAGTCCTGATTGTTTTGTCAGCCTCTTCTCTAAGTATTTCTACTAAGCCATTAAACATCTTTGAAATTCGTCTGTAGATATTAATATTGATATATGAATTAGAGAAAGGAGGATGCAGGGGATATTTTGCTGAATTAATTTGAATAGATTTCTGCATTGTCTGTCCTGGTCCTCAGGCATATTCATGCCAATCAAATCCAGACAATATCGAAGTTTGCATTCCACAGACTCACTGCTCTTGCGTGGACTGCAAATAGCTCGAAAGTCTCAAGCCTGACTGTTTATTCCTGTCACCTAATTATCGCTGAAAAAAGCTGCAGCAGACAGTTAGTAACTTACATTCTCATGCTTCTCTGGGAGTGTTTTAAAATAAACATTATAGATGGTTGTAACATAGGGAAGTGCAGGGTGTATCTCCAATCTTTTTTTTTCATTGGGTTTTTTAAGGTTAGGATAAGGAGGAAAGGAATACATTATTATTACACACATGTGTGTGTGGTGTGTAATTGGTGTGTATGTCTCTGTATCTGAGAACATTTCAAAATACGATTCTGAAGAAGGAACCACCACAGAGGCAGTTTAGTACTTTGATGAGTGTTTATTTTATTTCAGAGTTTGTCACTATGATAGTGTCACTGAGCACACCCACGATAGATGTACTCATAAAACCTTATTAGTAGAATTAATAGTAGTATTTAGTAGAAGAAGCTGTAAAAACTGCTAATAATTTAGTTACAACTTCACAGTACTCACTGGTATGAATGTATGTGTTGCATAGCGACTGGTGTGATCCTATCGTAAAATCTTCTTTAAGTCTTTAAGAGGTCTCTCTCGCACAAACCCCTAGGGTTCCCTATTAATTTGATACTGTTTCTCAACCCACACTTCATTTAGGCTAAGTTTTTTTATTGCTTTAAAAAACTGACCATCAGTTTAGAGACATTTGAAGATGTGAAAGTACCAGGGTTGTTAGTGGAGTGAATCTGTGACCTTGAGGTGACTTTTCTGTCATCAAGCAATAACAATGTATTATGTACTGAAACCTTGTGTGTCAAGGTTTTGATGGGGTCTCAATAGTCCGTGCAGACAGATACTTGACACATAATTAAGCTGAGTCCTCCTGCAGACTCATTAATGTTATCCTTAAAGTTTGTTTTTTTCCAACAAGGGTATTTATAGAAGTAGGCTACCCCGCTGTTTAGTTGAAGCTGGTTTATTAGGAGCTCAGCAGGGGCCCCTCTGAAAGAGTGAGGCTATCTCTTCTCATTTGTTAATTTTTGAGTAATGTGCTTTTAGATAAGGTCACATAAGTTTAAAGAAAATATAGCAAGAACCATTTATGTCGGTCGGCGCCAAACACAACCCCATGTGTGCTCAAACAGCTTTTTGTTAAACATTAAATCTCCATTAGTGAACTAGTGCAGCCTTTTAGTGATTTTCTAAATTTAAACCAAATTGGGGTACCGCTGTACTTCGGTGTTAATTTATCAGTTAATATAATTAGTCATTATGAGCCTTTTCTTGTTGATATCTGCGTTTTAAGACATTT